CCCTCCTCCAGGAATGGGCCCCGCTCCTCCACCCCCACCTCCTGGCTTTGGGCCCCCGCCACCACCAGGCCCCATGCCTTCCATGATGATCCAGGAAGCTGACCCTGCCAAGGCTATGATAGAACCCCCCAAGCCAATGAAGCCACTCTACTGGACCCGCATACAGCTGCATGCTAAAAAGTAAGGATATGCTGTAGAAAGTGAAGATAGATATGGATCATTTGCACAAAGGTATTCTCTGAACAGTAGAGATTTGAGAGGAAGCTTGTCCACTTAAGATAAAGATCGACCACATGCTGTGACTGCAATAGACATGCTAGCTTTGTGGAAAATGAAAGTGATGCAAGCCAGGCATTGTGGTCAGCAGAGAAATGACTTGAACCAGGTTTTCTTTCCTTATTAAGGCTTGGAAAACTATGGTGGAACAAACCTCTAGAAATGGAGACCTTGCTTTACGAGCAAGTGAGGAACTCAATCCAGAATTATAAATGCCATTTGGTGGCTAATGAATTTGGCAGTAATTGATTTTGGATTTTTATTCTCCCAAAAATAACAAATTAGTACTTGTAGAACTGCACAGGGCAAAAACATGCCTTTAAAAAAAACACAAATTACACTATGAAGTTCTACTTTGCTGTCAATCAAAAAAAATGGCTCTCCTACTTACACTGTAAATATTTCCTCCCCCTCCATCTTTAGACATACTGGCTCACTGGTGTGGGAGAAAATTGAGGAACCAACTGTGGATTTTGAAGAATTTGTGGAGCTATTTTCCAAAAGCACTGTCAAGGAGAAGAAGAAGCCAATTTCAGACACAATCAGCAAGTCAAAGGCCAAGCAGGTATTATATGTTGTGTTACGCTCATGTGTTTGCATATATACTGATATATTTGCTTAGGCAAGTGTGTGTGTATTTGTATATTTATGCATGCATGTTTTTGCTTCTCCCCCTTGGGGTCACTACGTTTGGCTTTCTTCAGGGCTTTCCTGTCCGCACTTTTACTCCAGCGATGGCTGTTCCTTTCCATTTCTCATCACTGTTGTCTCCCATTTACTTTGAGTGACAGAAGGAAATGCTACAGCCAGACAGTTATTATGTGGTGTGAGCTCTGGCTCCCACCCGACTCCCCTTGTGACCATCCAGTGGCATCAAGCCAATGTCTCGCGTGCGGTGAGGAAACCTCACGACGGTGATGACTGCTCGGAGAGAGAGGGAGTGGGAAGGGGAGAGGGGAAAACGGGAGGGAGTGAGAAGCGTGGGAGTTGTATTTCATGATGTGGTTCCTCCCATTGTGCTTTCTGTATGACTGGGTTTAATAGTCAGACTGTTTCCCTCCCAAGTGTCCTTTATGTCACTCCATCAATCAGCAAGGCAAACATTTGATCTACAATTTAAGGCTCTTTTGGTTAAGAGTTTTATGATAATGTACTATTCAGCTAAATTATGTATCTAAAACACAAATAATGTTGCACAGGGGAAGGCAGTTTCATCCCTCTAATTGAGGCCCTGTAGAATCACCAGGCAGTTTCTGCTGAAATGATATGTTGGTCCCAAGCATAGACACTGGCGGGAAATATTCTTAAGTTATGGGAAGGGATCAATTGGAATTTGACACCAAAATCTAAAACTTTCTTCCAAAAGGTTTCTAGTTGATTGAAAGTACAACTAGAACAAATGTCGAACAGCTTTACTCTTAACAAAAAGCTTCTTCTTCTACGGCTTATATTTCCCCATCTTGGTTTTCATCATTTCAAATTTGAATCTTCAAAGTCCATAGGAAGTACTGTCTAACTGTAGAGTACTCCATAATTACACAGCTATAGATTTTATATTTCCATCAAAAGTGTGTCTGTCTCACAGAAGTAGTCATGAATGTTGCTGTAGCAGAATAAATGTGAGCTTTCACGCTCAAGCACTGTATGGTGTAGCTTAGATCCAGCAGAGCAACGGTCTCGCAACTGAAGAAGTCAGTTGGATGACTTCTTTGTTTCTCTCACTCAAAACGCTATGTGCAGATGAACAGAATCGACCTTTTGGCAGCACTGATTAATGGTGAGACTTCTTTGACAGCCTTGTATGAATAGGATCTAACTTGGAAAGAACAGTTATTACAGGTGTTGTGTGTAATGATACATCTGTAGGACACCTGTTAATATTTTTTTCCTTGAATAGTTAAAATTTTAGTTATAAAGAAGTCCATGAAGTCATTGCTAGATGTAGTTTTACTGTTACTGTAGCATTACTGCGACACTCTAATTGACACTGCTCTAGATATGTTTATTACCACATTATGAAATATCTCTTCTTCTTTTTTTCCCTAATTGTGACGGGAAACAAACTTACTTAGGTGTGTGTCGAATTCCCCCAATCATCTCTGTGGATGCTCTCCAACACAGCCATGGTGATTCAGCAACAGCAAAAACATAGAACTGTGACTGAACCAAAATTGCAGTTAACCTTCAACATATTACATCTCCTACTGGTTCAGCTATTTACATCCCCCTGTGTGCTGTGAGTGCAACTATTTTGCTGATGAGAGGGGACAAGCATCCTCCTCAGGACTACCACTAGAGAGCAGCTTTGACGTCAGTACTCCTCTGCTGGCATAAGTATTACAGTAGATGGGACGATTTACTGCTATTACACAGTGTCAACTGTTAACCTTTGTACCTGCAGAGAGGTTTCAGAGGGAGCAGCCTTGCTTCTGACCTTTTTATATGATGTACTAGAGATATGGAGTGAAAGTTATGAATATGAATTATAGTATGTGGTTTACATCTGTTTAAGACTGAAGATGATGAACTGCATGTTTCCAATGCTCTGTTTTTCATCTTAAGAGATTTGAAGTCTAGGTAGAGAAAATAAAAATATATATAAATTATTGATATTGGACATTTATAAAAAAAAAAGTGTTTATCTTATTAACATTTTACAACCAAAAACTATTTTGTTTTGTTAACGAAAGATCAACTAGAGATTTTTTTTATTTAAAAAAGTTCAACCTCGTTAGAAATGAAAATGAACAATATTTAAAAAATTGAAACCTATCTTTATTTAAACATTATGATACACACTGAGGAGTTTATGCTTTTGTAAGTTAACTTTTAGAGCAGCATTACCTTCCAAACAACTGGTATGTGACCCTACCCCGACCTCTATTTTGGTCTGTATCATAGATACTTCTATGGGCATCTTTTCTCATTTCTCACACACTAAGCTCTGGGACCCTCCGCCACACACACACACACACACACACACACACTCTTCACCCTCATAAATCTCCACTGGCTCCTGGTCAAGTCACGCATTACTTATAAGATCCATCTTCTCACTTACAAATCCCTCAACGCTTTGGCCCCTCAGTACCTGTCTGGCCTGCTGCAACAATACACACGGTCTCAGATGCTACGGTCCTCAGCCACAGGTCCGCTTTCTGTCCCCCACATCAACCTAGGTACATTTGGGAAAAGAGGCTTCACTTTGGCAGCCCTCATCCTCTGGAACTTTCTCCAATCTGAGCTTCACAATGCCCCATCACTGGAGTCTTTTAAGAATTTATCAAATCTCACTTCTTTAACAAAGCCCTCAACCTGTAGCCTTTTGTTTATTTTTATACTTTTACTTATTTGCATCCTTGGGTTTCTTGAAAGGGACTATACAAAGTTGATATTATTGTTATTATTATTATAATTTATATTTGAGAACGACAAGAAGTTTAAAAGCAACATTTTCCATTGTTTCTTTGAGGAAAGAATTGGGCTGGAGTTATGTTCTCAGTGCTGATTTCTAAAAATATTTATTTATTTATTTGTTTTGTTTTATTTATTTATTTATTTTTTGTTGGTCACCAGAAAATCTTGAGCATGAGTATCAAGATTACTTTTTTATTTAATATAATAATTGTAAGATAGGAAATTGCCAACCACAGACGATGCCATCACCAATCTCCCTTCTAATAAAATATATTGAAAAAAAATGGTGATGTAGACACACTAATAGGACCATCATAGCTCTTTTATCTGACTGTATTGTTTGAGCTGCTAAATCAGTAGCCAAACTAATAACACCAGCATTCATCTGTCTTGTTTACTTCACACATCATTGCTTTCCTTATTTTAGCAATAGAAATTGTGGTGTTTCCTTTATTATTTTTCATTAAAAGTACCAAACTTGAGAACTTTATTCATAACACATTTCCAGCTCTAAGCACATCGCGACTAGTTAAAAGTAGGTCGATGGGCATATTTAGAATACAAGAGTCTGCTCCAGCAAACTGTTGTATGAGAAGTTAATTAAATGGTACATTCTTTTTACATGAATTTAATCTTTGGTCACAGAAACAAAACTGGGTACGCCTATGAATTCCAATTGGGTTTATTGCATGAAAATGATGATAAAACAACAGAACACCAGAGCTTTCTTTATTTTGTATACTTGGGATGTGTGCATCTGCATACTTGCATCAATAGTCCATGATGCAAGTATGCAGAATTGCCAGGGGGGTTCAAGTTGTAAGATGGAGTAGGCTAGCAGAAGATCAGCGAGCAAATTAATGTCGGTCAAAACACAGATGCAACACTAATCAGAGCCGCCACAATGCTCTTGATATCATCTACAGGTGATTGCTTCTTACATGGCTTATTAATGGTATCCGAGTCTGAGGACTCTGATTAGATGTTGAAAGCATCATATCTGATTAATATTTCAGTTTATTAAGTATACCTAATATACCTGAGGCTCTGTTGTATATTTCAGCATATAAGGCTTTACTGATGACTTATTCACTGCAATGACGCTGTTACCTTACACTAAAATATCACAGACTTACTGTGAAAGTCACTCAGCATCATATCTCGATCGGCATGTTTCTCAAAGCTGTGGTTGGGCTGGGGAACACAGACAGTTGGGGCTTGGTGATATAACTTCCTGTGTGTTTAAGAGGTCTGTGGTCTGTGTGATCTGGTTTAGATGGAAGCATTCTGTCTGGATCACAGTAGGCTACGGGTTTCCTGTCCTGTCCCTTCACCACTTTGCAACCCAGTGCACACTTCTGCTTACTCAGGAGAGCTGTGGCTTATAATGGTCCCCTTGGATGCAGTTTTTATGCGTAATAACAACACTGGCTTGATATTTAACTCCTGACTGTTTGTCGGAGGCAGACTATTATTAAACTGTTAACGTTTGCAGCTTTTTGAGCAGTTTTAATCTCCATGGCGTTGTGCAGATAATACTTTCTAAACTTTACCTTTTAGCCCCCTTAAAAATGTGTAATTTAAACATAAAGTCAGTTTTCTGTTTCATCAGTTGCACTACTTGAGTCGGAATAATAAGCCTTTTGTGTTTTTACTGATCTGTGAGGTTTTGATCATGTAACTGAATAATAGTGTATGTGGAGACTTGAAAAAAAATCTGTCAACACAATATAACTCCATAGCTATAATTTTCCCAGTGTGTGCTGATCAATAATGATGAAGTTTTCCTCCCACAGAAGGAAAATGATAGAACAGATTATTTCTATTCAAATATTGTCTTTGTAATTCAAAAGCCCTTTATTAGTATATAGTTTTAACAAATAATATATATTTATACAATATACATGAACTGTGCGCGTCTCTCACTGTCCCTCAGGTTGACATGTTAATATTATAGACAGCAAATTTACCTTCTACTGCTAGTGTTTTTGAAAGGTCGTTAATCATCTTCAAGCCTAATTATGGCGTTTAACTCATTTCAAATTGACCCCTATGGTTAAATTAAAATCTACATATTACATTGCAGGAGGATCTTTCTCTCCACCTCACCTGTCAAACAGAAACCAGCGTTCTGTTATGTTCTGTTTGCGATGAAGTTTATGGGTAATGAGCCTGTATGATGTTACGATTTTTTTTCTCTTCTTTTCTTTCTCTATCTTCTAGGTGGTGAAGCTCTTAAGCAACAAGCGTTCACAGGCTGTAGGTATCCTCATGTCTAGCATTCATCTTGATATGAAGGACATAGAGAATGGTAAGTCTTGTCACATGTTCATGACTAGTGCTTTAGCTGGTATAGAGGTGTAGCACTTTTGCTATCATCTGTGACAAAGTTTCTTCAGATGGCAAAACTGTGAAAGCAATTTATTGTGTCTCAACAATGAAGAATATGTAGCTGTTTCTGAAAAGGTGGTACTGCTAACATTACTAACATTTTCCAAAACATACACAGTTGCACATTCGGTGTGCCGCTGTTTTGCGCATATGAAGGCATGCTATTGATCTTTTTAATAGCCATGGTCTGTTTTACTCCAGGGATGGCAAATCTCAGTCATTTGCCTGTCATTCAGTCATTTAATTCACAACTTAATTTTAGCTGACACTTTTTAAATTAACTGGTATCTTGTGCAGGTTAATTCCAAGGATCTTGGTGATGTCTTGACTTTTGCTGTAGTTGTATTTTTAACGTCTGTGATTTTAGGTGACATGGCTAAACAACTTTTATTAAATTTGATACATTCACTACACAGTAAGTACTGGGTCGGACACTCTTTTGCTTTCAGGACTGCCTTAATTCTTTGTGGCATAGATTCAACTAGGTGCTGGAAACACTCCTTAGAGATTTTGGTCCATTTTGATAAGATGGCACTACACATGATGTGACTCTCTCGTTCCACAACATCCCAGAAGTACTCTATTGGATTCAAAGCTGGTTACTCAGGATGCTATTTAAGTACAGTGAGATCACTTTTATGTTCAAGACTCCATTTTTAGGTGATTTGAGCTTTAGAGCCCATTATCTTGATGAAAGTAACCAGGAGAAGATGGGTACACTATGGTCATAAAGGAGTGGACATGCTTAGCAACAAGGTAGGTTGTAGCATTTAAATCATGTGCACTGGGTACTAAGAGGCCCCGTGTGTCTGAAGAAAACATCCTCCAGAGCATTACACCACCAATAACAAGCTGAATTGTTAACACAAGGCAGGATAGATCCATGGTTTTACGTTTTTTTTTTATGACAAATTTTGACCATACTCATCACGAGACGATCTTTTTTTGCCCAATTTTGGTGAGCCTATGCAAAGTGTAGGTTCAGTTTCCTGTTCTTAGCTGAATGGTACCCAGTGTGGTTTCTGGTTCTGTAGTCCATCTGCTTCAGCATGGTCAAAATGCAGAGATCCTTTTGCCTTCTGATACTAGTATCTAGCATACTAGTGTCTGTCCATCTGGTACCAACAATGATACCATATTAAATCACCTTTCTTCCCAATTCTGATGCATGATTTGTACTTCAGCAAGCTATCTTGACCACGCCTACATGTATAAATGCACATGAGTTGCTGCCATGTGTTTGGCTCATTAGACAACTACATTAACGAGCAGTTGTAAAAGTTGCCAGTGAGTGAAACATTTTTGAACCTCATTCTTCTGACAACATCAAACCAGAATTATAAAACATCCACTACTTCTGATCATGACCAGATACTTTTATAACCCTTCAGGTTGTGTCTTTGTGTTAATTGGCAAATGTTAGTATGGTAAGGCTCTAGTCAACATGCTATTTGTCTCTGTTTTTATTATAAAGCACATTGAAAAAAAACAACAGGAGCGTGCCCCATGTAATTTCTAGTGAAAACAGATTAATGAATGAAAGTAAAATACTGCATAGCATATAACTTTTGTTTTTACATAAAAACTACTGTGGGGGATAAACACCTGTTAAGAAATTGTTTAAAGAAACAAGATTGAAAAAATAAACAGACAACACAGTCAAATAAAAGTAATAAAATCAAAGTCAAAATAATAAGAAATGTGGTAAACTTTTCACCTGCTGAACATTATTGTGTTAGTAGTGTTGTAAATACTACTTGCTGATATTGGCTTTGAGCTTAAAACACCACTGTGCCTGAGAGCAGCCAGAGATGCTTTTATTTATGTGCCACAAGGATGGTTCCTTCCTCTGTTTGAAGGTAGTACACAGTCATCCCCAGGTGTGTTGGGAAGATGCTAACTTCCAAACAAAAGTGAATTTCTATCAAAAGCGTACAAAAGCAGCATTTTGAAACCATATCATCTCTAAAAAATAAATAATTCTGCACACTGAACATCAGCAAACCCCATTGTATACATCTTTTCTCTTTTTTAGTCTCCCGTGAAGTTAGAATATTATTGGATTTGATTTTACCAAAGCTATTCCAGTGTTTGGTGTTATCACAAGTTATACTGCTGAAAGGCATCTGAAATGCTTTCTTCTTTAGTTCCTCTCTTCTCATCTGTTTCTTTTCTCTTTCATTTTGCATATTCTCTCCCCATCTAACATGCACATCGTGTTTCACAGAGACACTCTGTCTGACGAGTTGTCACCATCTTGTCTAAGCGGCTTTGTTAAAGTGAAGCCATTTTGGAGATGATGATGGCTACAGATGGTCTTCCTGTTTTAGTTACTCTCTGATTGCTCTCCAGTCTTTGCTCGTCTGTGTCTAAACACTTCTCGTCATCTCCCCATCCTATTCAATCTTCTCTCAGTAAAGCATTTACGTTAGCTTCAAACCTTAACTCCTCACGCACAAGACATACGGTTAGGTTACATCAAAATAAATGTGTGCCACACAAACCAGCAACGTAGCAATAAACAGTTGCTCTCTGGGAGCGTTTTATCTGCAGCATCTTCAAAGAATCTGGTGGAACTAAATGTTGTTCTGCATTTCTGGTCTTAATGTCAGTCTTTGGTGCATTCATTTTAGGTCAGATTGGAAGGGCAAGAGAGGGCCACGCTCATCAGTACTGGTATTTATCTCCTATGTTAGGACAGTTTTGCACTACTACATAATTAGCACTGATTGGAAACTTCACTATGTCACTAAGAGATCAGAGAAAGGACATCTCAGTGATTTGGTGGACTACTTTCAAATATTATCTACTTGTTCTGACATAACAGTGGGCCATCTTCTGTGCAGAAAGAAAATAATCCTGAATGTGTTTTTGAGCTTATATATGTGCTGTGTTACACAATGTGTTTGACAAATTTTTAGGTCTGAATAATTGTAATAATTATAGCCATAAAATACTCAATTTCCCTTAAATAATAAACCCTCAAAGTCTGTATAATAACTATGCTAATGTTTTCCCATTCCGGACATGATCTAATGTTCCCTTGTGCTATTAGAGGTTTAAGATGATTAAAGAATCAAAGGACGATTTGTTTACCAAAGAGAGATTAATTTGCCCAAACTTTGTAATTGTTCCTGTCAGTGTAGTGAATTAGTTTCATTTCCTGTTGGTTTCGTGATTTTGGTCAATGACTAGCAAAGTCTTTGTAAATCTGAGATCTCTGACATGAAGAAAAACAACTTCTGAGTCATTGATTTAGATTGTGTCAGTTTTATGACGGCGCAATTGCTCAGTGAGAAGTCGAGACATTTTTTTTGTTTTTTTTCTCACAGCTGTTGTTGTTTGCTCTCAGACTTGGCCCACACTCTGCATGTTTCATAGGACACTTCCGTGCACTGTCGGCATTCCTGGGAAGTTTTAGACCACCAGCCTCCGTCAGAGATGACGGTTACCGGCGCCATGTTTGGGTCAAATGTGATAGTCAGGATAGACCTTGGAAGATGGGTCTGGATTTTGAGTTAGAAGAGGTCCTGTGTCACCATGACGATATGGTTTTCTCCTTAAAAAAAACAAAAAACAGTCTCCAGTTAAATAAGCCAGCCAGACTGGTTTGGATAGTAATGAAAACCAAATGGTTAAAAGAAATGAATGGGAGAAACAGAAAAGGGCAGTTTCTTTGTGGCGGGTTTGGAAGAAACAGTGTGTGAAGAGGTCAGGAAGTGACAGCGATGAACTAAAAAAAAAAGGAGGAGTTGATTTGCACTTGTAGAAGAAGAGTGAAGAGATTAAAAAGGCAACAGAACTGCCTACACAGAGAGAGAAAGTGATATCAGACTATTTCCACATGCTTGACCATCTTTTAGTTTTATATTTGCTATCATTTTCTTTGATCTTATTTTTCAGATGTGCTGTAAAAGCCTTAAAACGTCCTTCTGTATTCATTATCCAAGCAAACTCTCTGATTCAAAGTTGCTTTAGCCTCTGTGACCCTAGCCTACCTCAGCAGCAATCAACAGATCAAAATATTGTGAGTGATTTTGGGCCCCTGCAGCATGGTGAAATACACATATAGGTGTCAAGCACTTCACTGGGTGATTGTGCGTACAGCAACACCTCAGCCTCAACACCACAGACCCCCGGGCTCTGTTTGTCTTTAAACATTTACTTTCAAAGGATTAATGCTCGAGGGCGCCAGGTCCTCGCGCCGAGACAAAAAGGCGACACCAGGAATTCAAACACAGGAGTTCAAACACAGATCTTTGTACCTTTGACAGGTTTCTAAGACCTCCATATTTATGTTTTAGTTTATGGCTCCTTGCATGCTATCGTCATGAGAACTGATAACTGTGCAGCTTAAAGCATACGTGTCACTTTTTGTGGCCATGGGATCATTTTTGTCCTTGTTTCATGGCACCTTCAGCCCCAGCAGGAAATGGTATTCTACCTCTGTTTGTAGTTATTGTTTCAAAAAAAGAACCACTGTATAAACTAGAGATAATGAAATTGTCGGTCTGTTTGTGTTGGTTTGATTTCTGACTTGTTAATGGTGTTCATTCAAGGTACAAGAATGTCACGACATGCTTTAGTGTTAACGTTAACATTAACCATGTCACCCTCTCTTTCCATCCACAGCCATTCTAAATATGGACAATACTGTTGTTGATCTGGAGACTCTGCAAGCCCTCTATGAAAATGTGAGTATAACAACAAAGACTTTGGAATCAAAACTATTTTATATGGTCACAAAAATAATATAATAACATTTTTCTTTGCAAATTCTTTTACTTTAAAGGAAGGATGATAAAGGATCATGCGGGCAGTGGTTTTCAATGAGTCAATAGACCAGTGAAAAGGCAATTTCCCAAGCTGAAATACATTTGGGAACTTTCCTGCCAATCCAGAATTGCATAAATACACAATGTTGAGCAACCAGCCCAGGAAAATTATACAAAGCAACTCCACCGACAGCTCAGGCTGATGTTAATGGCAGCATTCGCACAGGGAAAACTGGTCTTTTTTTCCTTTCCTGTGTGGTTCGCAGTAAAAGTATGAGTTTGGAACAGCTTGCTAGTGACAAATAGAATGATTTATTGTTGCACATTTCATGCCATATATCAATAACAAGCAATCATTCCATTATAGAATGAAACCCAAGAAGACTCAAAAAGCAGTGATATCAACAAAATGGCAAAAAAGAAATCATCACATGTTAGTGTTGTTTTATTTTTCACTTGACTGAGGGTAAACCACAAAACACCAAATGTCATTCATCAAAATATATCTTTCCAACATTATCAAAGGTTAAACTTTTGTTTAAATTGTAGGGGTGAAAAAAATCTTACTGTAATTACATGATTGTGTAACAACATTTCAGAGGTGCCACTTTACTGCGAACATATTTCTCTATCTAAGTCTTATTCCATGTTCCACTTGAAAGGGGTGAACTGAGGAAATGTGCATTAGATACTAAAACAAACAGGCAAGCCACAAACTGTACTGGTATGTGTGCTGTTTGGCGACAGCGTCAGTCATGTGTAGGTCTGTCTGCTGCCTTGGAAGGGAACCAAAGCTTTTACGTAGTAAACATGTTTTCTACACTCTGGATCTGATTGACTCAACTTTTGTAATGCCCATGTGCAAAGGAAATGATAGTTGAGAAACTCCAGGATTTGTGTCAGAGCTTCGATGTGGTTTTAAAAAAGAGCCGACTACAGTGAGCTTTGCCAAGGTAAATCATATAATATTAGCAAAGAATTACAGAACTGTCATCAGTACTTCCCAATATGTCTCCATTTTGGCTGTGAAGACTTCCATTTATAGAGTAAATACATATTCATCAAGCTCGTCTGATAGGAAATCTCCCCAGCCCCAGTAGAAATGGTTCCGGGACCATTCGAAGTGGGGTCAGTAAATAATAGAACATGAAAATGAGTATGTTTTCCACATTTCAACTGTGATACATTTTTAAGATGCTGTGAAATTCCTGTGAATTACTTTTTGGCACAACTACACAGGAGAGGCCTAGACCTTTGGCTGCCAGAGGCATATTAATAATGTTGATCATGGGAATGAGACTGTGGCTTGAGACAAGCTGTAGTTATGAACCAATGTGTCATAACTCAGGATCAAAAGTCTTCTAACCTCTCCAGTCACCCCAAGACTTCAAGCCCTCTCCCTCTGCTTCTCCCCCTTATGGCCTAAGGCTATGTTATTGAGTCGCGGAGCCAAATTGTTTCTCTTTTGTATTGCGAGACTCCATCCTGTCTGTGGGTCTCCAGCCCCCTAAACCACAGTTGGCAGCACAGTCAGCCTGTCTTTAGGAATGTGAGGGGCTTCTAATGGTTACACCCTCACTCACTGTGCTAGGAGCTAGATCACAGTCTTCTCTGCCTCACTCTCTGTTTCTCTCACCCACACAAACATGCTCACAAACAAACATGTTGACCCACACAAATTTGCACGTAGTGTACAGTATGACGGCAAAGACAGATGCACACAGAGTCGCTTAGTCTATGAGCTCCAGATTATAGCCACTCCTGTTCTTTGAACAAAAAGCCAGTGTCATTAAAGGGGTCACAGTGATAGCGGGACACTGCTCCCTACCCTCTAATATCAAGCCATAATCTGGCCCCAGACTAGTTGTCTCAAGTTCAGGCTTGTTTCAGCTGGTAGTAGATAACGGTCAGAGAGGTCAGTGAGTCAGACTCTCCTAAACTTTTAAACAAGATACGATCACCTCAAACCCCATTTTGCATGGTATTGCTCTGAAAAAAGACTAGATATAGTTTACATATCATTACACAATGTAACTTGTCATTTGGGTCGATTATTTGGCAGCTCAAGGTACAAAGTATCTCATAAATGTAGTTTCATTGAAAACTGAGTGACATAAATAGTGATTAAGGCCTGTCTGGCTCTGTTTAGCCCTGTACTAGAAACTTGCATAATGAATACCATTTGGCTACCTCTAGTATTCTGGCATCACAAATATCATCCTACTGTACTTTGCATTTGATATTCCACATGGGACTGTATTTCTCATGCTAACAACCACCACAACATGCCCTAGCAATTCAAAGATCACACGCTAATGCCTACTTGTCCCCAATTACACCAAACACTGCTGGGCTCCACTGCTGCCCTTTGAAAAGGATCTGCTTTGTGTTAAATATATTTACACTTGAAAACATCTCGAGAGAAGACGAAGGAGAGCTTGCCCTCACCGACAGAAGGCAGCGGTGTGCAGAATACTAATCTGGCCCTTCGTGCGTTTGATGCTGGTGTTTGATGTTTTCCAAGGATCCATGCCGAGGCCAAACCCCAGAGTAGGATGGAGAGAAACAGAGGATGAGGCCAGATTGCTGAGACTCAGACTTTGGGGGTCTAAGGGCTCTGGAGGGACTAAGAGAGAGTTTACATTTTCTTCCTGGAGATGGTTTTATTGTTTTGCCCCTCTGCGTCAGACACATTAAGATCTATTGTCTTTGCCTCTTGTGAAACGAAGGGGCATTTTTGGCTTGCTTTTTTTTAAACCACCTTGTATAAAACTGTGGTCCAGAGCCTGGCAGCAGGATAATAGTCAGGAATGTAGTCTGGCTGAAGGCAATACTTTTAGCATTTGTGAAACCTATACTGTATAGGCTGGCATATGGTTGAGTTTATGTACAAAACATAATTTGAGAATTCTTTTACACTTGAGATAAAGCTTCCAGACATCAAAAGGGAAGAAAATTAGGGAGGGTAGGGGGTTGTGAATGGCCTAAGACACGCAAATAAAGACTTCAATCCAACTGAAATGTTGCAGGGTTTGAAGTGCAAGAAAACCTCTAAACACCTTGCAACAAATTTTTGCATGGATGAGCATTCAAAAGTTTCAGTGAGCTGAGATCAGAGACAAATAGGGGAGAATGAAAAAACACCAGTACAATTATTTTTTTTGCAGAACTCTACACTCTACGTCTAAGAAGCATCTATTGATATTTTTTTTGTTCCAAGCTCATTCAACATTCACATGCTGTTTTGGGAACATGTCCAAGTATAACTCCTTCTAATGTGTATTTTTTCAGCGATTACAAAAAGGCTCACTATTTCCATGGATGGACTTTAATTTGAATGTATGTTTTCACCACTTTGGAGTGCTAGGTGTGACTCAGAGGATAAAAGTGATTCAAGTAATATCCAAACAAATTATTTTATAAGGCACTTAATACTGTTTCCTGTGCTGTCAGTGTCCCACCCATTTCTCTTACAGATGTGGTTTTTCACAGATTTTCTTCTTTAGTATTTTTCTTTAAATTTTGGTTTCCTGACTTTGACACTGCTACCCTTGATCCTTACCAAAATAAAGGAAATACATACACAGATATGTTTCAGCAATATCCATGCATGTTCTCTTGTAATCAAGCTGTGCAAAAGTCTTTAGTCGACCCTCATTTGTTTATATTTTCCTTCCAGTGAGCCACTTTAATTAAAAAAAAATAAATAAATAACGGCTTAGACAAAAACTAATGTTCTCACTTCTTTAGTTGAATCTACAGTAATGCCAATGTTAACACAGTTTAAAAACAGCATTTCTAAAAATTTTCTACCAACAACGTGATTCACAAAGTAGTATTAGCTTACAAATTTAAAAGTTCAGGACACAAAAGTAGCAGGTCTAAAGAAACAGGCCTGGAAAAAAAACTCTCCAGAGCAGATAAACTTCATCTGAAAGTCATCTAATTAAGAAACAGTCAAAATAAATATTCGCCAAAGACTTGACACAGGATCTGAGAAACTGATCTGGAACTTCAGTTGATGCATGTACTTTTCTGAAGCCTCATCAGAAATGGTCTCAGTGGAAGGGTGGTTGTCAAGAAGCCATTCTTAGGCAAGAGAAACGGGGAGAAAAGGCTGAGGTATACCAAACTGCACAAGAACTGACAACAGGTCTCATGGAGTGATGAATCAAAATTGAAAATTTTGGTTAAAATCATCAAAATGTTTGAATAAGGTCAGGAGAGTACAACACTGAAGAAAACATGGTGCTGTCATGGTTTAGGGCTGCATTACAGCTACCACTGTTGAAGATCTTGTCAAAATGTATGAAATTATGAACACTGATAATTACCCTCAGATTTTGATCCATCATACAATGCCATCTGGAAAGCATGTGATTGGCAACAGCTTCAATTTTCAGCAATGACAATGATCCTAAAGATGGTGCCAGTGCATTTTCCTGTCACAGTATAAAGAAATGAGTGATGACTCGAGGCTCTTGTAGAGGCATTTTGTGTTTTGGCTAGCTTAGTTTAGGTTTAAGCAAAATAAAATAACCTTTTGTCAGCGTCATAACTGTAACCAATTTCGATTTCAACTTAATGTGTACTTTCTTTTGACAGAGAGCTCAAGATGATGAGATGGACAGCATTAAAAAGCACATTAAATCTGCCAAAGGCAAGGAAGATGCCAAACCACTAGACAAGCCAGAACAGTAAGAACTAAATACACCCTCTAAACTAAGTCTGTTCAATGTCTTGCTATTAAATATATGGTTTAAGTTGACTGGTCTTGTCCCTTCGTCAGGTTTCTGTTCCAGCTATCACAAATCTCCAATTTCTCAGAAAGGGTGTTCTGCATCCTTTTTCAGTCAACCTTCCATGAATGTATCACTTCAATCCTCCGCAAAATTGAAATCCTTCAGAAAGTGTGCAAGGTGAGCCACTGGCCGCCTTCTCAGTTTGTTTTATTTCATGTCACTCGGTTTAGCCTTCATATCTTCATCTTGCGTGTCTGTGTGGTGTGTTCACCTCAGACTCTCCAGAGTAGTGAGGCCGTATTGCAGGTGCTCGGCCTGGTGCTGGCTTTTGGCAATTTTATGAACGGAGGAAATCGGTCTCGAGGGCAGGCTGACGGCTTCACCTTGGACATTCTGCCAAAACTGAAGGACGTTAAAAGCAGTGTGAGTACTGGAGTAAAAGCAAACATCACTTACTTTGCAACAGCAGATCAAACCTGGAAAGGACTGGATTAGAAGTGGGGGAGAAAAAAATGTATAGAAGAGAGGTCTGTCTAGCTTTGTTTAATTTACATTATGCAGTAAAATATAAATGGGAAAATAATAGTTTTAAAATGGGACACAGGGTTTCAAAGGTATTCTCTCTAGGGGGTCAAGCCTTATGACCATAGCTGGGCAGTTTTTGAGGAGAAGCTTGTTCTGATTCAATATCACAGCAGACTCGGAGTGCCCTTGGCACTGCCATATAAGGACGCAATGGTTTGTGTTTTTGTAGTGGCGGACAGAGTAAGGTATCCATAAAGAACATCAAACTTTCCACCAACTCTTAAGTTATGACGGCCAGCCAAGCACAGTTGTGTTTTGTTGTAGTACTCTTCCAATGTCATGATTTATTCCTAACTTCTAAGGCTGCTGTCTCCATTCTTGTTTGCCCTGCACAAATTAAAACGTCCTGCTCCAAAATGATTAAATTAATAAATAAAGGGATCTTGGTTTATTTATTTGGATCTTTCTCTTTCTTTCAGGATAACTCCCAGAGTCTTTTGTCCTACATTGTTGCTTACTATTTAAGGCACTTTGATGAGGTATGTTTTGGTTCCTGTTTATTCGAATCACTTTTCTGTTTTAGTCTGATTTGCTTAGAAATCCTTCCAGAGCTCTCTTTTCATCTCCTCTCTTGCCAGAGGATACCATGGCTTATCCTTTATCAAATTATTTATTTTCCCTTTCCTCATTTGCAGCAGAAACAAATCTCTCTCTACCTCTCCCTCCCTCTCTCGGGCTCTCTCTTATACTTCTCTTTCTGTCTTTCACTCTTCATCTCCCGCTCCTACTCTGCTTTGGTCTGGCTTCGTTCAAACCTGCAGTCTGTTCATTGGCACAGCATCCAAAGCAGCGCTAGTGTAAATAATTAGGTTCTCCAGATGAGATGAACTCAGTAGTGCAGCTTGCCAAAATCAACCTGCATGACATGGCTGTAGCACTCATTATGGCCTGTCACTAATGCTGATGAGGAGAATTGACATGTGCTTTGTGACCCCAGCTTAATGGTCATTATCTGCTGTAGTTTTAGACATCTTCTCTGGCATGTCTGAACTGCTGATAAGTACATGTCGGTCCCTCAAGACATTTATTTAAATCTTGCCTTGTGTGTAAAGTATAGAGAGGCCCTCTTCCATTTGAGAAAGATTGATTTTGACATTGCAGTGTGTGTGTTTTTGCACATGTATGTGTGTTGTCTTTAACCAGGATGCTGGCAAAGAGACATGCGTCTACCCTCTGCCTGAGCCCCTGGACCTTTTCCAGGCCTCCCAGATGAAGTTTGAGGACTTTCAAAGAGATCTCCGCAAGTTGAGGAAAGACCTCAATGGTACAGTGATAAACTTACATTCCATAGTTTTCCTTCTTGTGGGCACATCCTAAACACTGTATTTACAAAATGCTTACAAGGTTTTAAACTTGGTTGTTCTGTAATTACTGCAAGTCTTATAGCATGTTTAAAATGACACTGCATTGATATTTATGCAACATATGATTAAAAAAAATGTATGAATTAATTTAAGTGTTGCTTGCATAATGCAAAATAATTTTCCAGACCTGACCAGCTATGGTCATGTGTGGATTGCACAGGCCAGTCAACATTGAGATAGCATCTGTTTGTTGTACAGACAAGCTAACTGGAAGCAGATGTTACTTGTCAGATGTAGACTCATGTTGGACCTGGCCTACCTTTATTGTCGTCATGAACGAGGAAGAGAAATATAGACGGGGAAAGGTCAAGGAACTTCTACTACTGAGAGAGTCTGTTCAGGCTCTCCTCATTGTCCTGGAACTCAAAAATACAAATATGAGACTATTCAGAAGATAACTGCAGTTATTCATAATCACGTTTCCAAAAAAGTTGGACCACTGTGTAAAACATAAAATAAAAACACAATGAAATGATGTGCAAGTCATTTAAATCCTGCGTTAAACTGAAAACAATAGAAAGACAAATGCTATTTTAGGAATATGTGCTCATTTTAAATTTGTTACTCGTGACATGTTTTAAGAGATGGGGTGGTGTGGGTTGTTCGACAACTAGTTGAAGAACCCACTGTTAATTAGAGTAATAACATAGCTGGCTATATAAAAGGCATACTAGTAAGTTTTTCAGATGACATAAAGGGATTATTACTCTGTGATACACTGCATGGATAAATAGTTAAGCCGTTTAGGAATTAAATTTCTTAACTTAAAAAGAACAGTAAGACTGTTTTAGGAAGACTTAAACAAGTATTGAAAAAAAAGTCAGATACTCTGACCTCACTGGATTAAATACAGCCTCAATTCTATAGTGGAAATCAGCACACCAGCTCAAAAACACTTACAAAATATATTGTCAATAAACACAGTTAACTAAAACCACCATACAAGGAAAAAACATTTTTAAACATGATGATGAATCACTGGTGCCAACTCTGTACCCAAACATTTTAAAATGGACTCAGGCAATGTGGAAAACTGTCCTGTGACTCATAATCAACTCAAAATTATAGATGCTGGTCTTCTGGACTCAAGTGTCAGGGAACTGCCTAGCTTCGTCTCAGTGCATAGCTCAAAAGCAAGCTTTTGTAATGCTGTAGGGGTGCATTAGTGAACATGGTATGGATACCTCTCTGATCTGCAAAGATTTGATTAAGGCTGATTAATATATGCAGTATTAGGAGAAACATTAACCATCCAGATGACCCATTTTTCAGGAAAGAACTTACTTGTTTCAGCTATCAAATACCCAAATACCACATTCTGCATGCATTACAATAGTAAAAGAATCTGGATGCAACTGGGGAAACTACATGTAACATGGTTAGTAATGACCTTTACTAAACATTTTTTTCACACAGAGTCAGCATTTAATCCTCAACAATAGTGTTTTGGTGACACAAATTATTATCATAAAAATAATAATAATTATTTTTAGACCTAGAAGTTGCTAAGAGTTGGAATGCTAATTTCTCAGCTAAGGCTAGCTACCTTTGTTAGCAAGCTGCATTCATAAACTGCATAGGTGCAACCACATTGGCTGATTAGTGCTAAGTAAAGTGAAAGAAACACCAGAATTTCACTCACCTAAGCCTTAGTGTTTAGATAATACATTAAAAATGCTCCACACGCACCAGATACACACAGTGAAGAAGTCCAGCTTAATCTCGAGCTGTGTCTGAGAGGCCTGCAGTCAAAAAGGTCATGCCCCTAATTAAGAAGTCGAGGTGGAAGAAAAATATTCACCCTATTTCATGTTGTTATCAGGGGCAAAACTGGTCTAGAATATGCTTTTTAGTGCAGTAAAGAGTCACTGTTTTTTTCCCCACTTTGCCTTTGCTTCATTTACCAGCTCTGGATCTTGTCCTTTAGTTTTACTTTTTATCTTTAGAATTTAAAAAGTCAGCTCAGCATGAACTTGAATCAAGAAAAGGGGGGTTATGTGATAATTCCACAAACCATGGAGTTTGTGTAACAATAACTCTTAAGGGGGAAAGCAAAAACACAAAGTAAAATAGAATAATAGCTAACTGTATTAATGTTATGTCACTACACATTAAGATCACAGGAAAAGGTTTGGATATTTGCTAATGACAAGCCAAACTCACTGGCTGAGTGAAAAACATCTTAATTTATGCAGCATTTAGAAAATACTCATTTTCATTATTTTTGCTCTCGAGGTGATTTTTTTTTTTTTTTTTTTTTTTTAAAGTGTATCTTTGAGCAAAATGATGCACGTGAGTGTGTACTTGCAGCCTGATCGACTATTCCCTAAACCTGGTCTGTTCTCTATCATGTTTTATGTGTTTTTGCTGCTAAACCAATCAGACGCCTAAAACGTATTGCCAAATATTGTTTTTTCTCTGCTGTAATGATTCTTTAGGCTGTTCATTATTTGCAATTCATAAAGATGGAGTTGCTCACAGGGGAAACTGACTTTCGACCCCAGTGGCTGTGGCACATACTGGCCATACATAAATACATCATCACATGCTATACCTGCAGACCTCTTCATTACCTAGCAGAGGTAGCTGAGTGCTCTAGCAGACATGGGCTTCGATGACAGTTCCCAGAGGGGTTTTCCGATAGGTAGGCGGCGTAGAAATGGCCTTGGCTGGCCCAAAGGACATCAGCAAGTAATGCAGTGGAGAGAGAGCTTGCTTTGCCTTTTTGGCTGAGGCACCATATGGTCGATGAATTACCACTTGCCCAGTCCCGACCTCGTTGTTCCCTTAAGCGTCTCATGGCCTCTCCACCTCTAAGGCCTTGAGCTGAGCTTGTGTATCTGTTATGCTTGCAGATCGAGCGTAACAATAAGTTTCTCCTGGGATCAAACTGCAGGCCTTCCTGGTTGCTAGGGCTAACTTATTAGTCATTATGGGTTATTATGTCTTTGCAGACACTTATTCAGCAAAAATTCAGTAGAGATTTATTAAAGCAAGCTCAGCTAGGTTAAAGAGCACTGCAGATAATTAAAGCGCCAATGGTGGATAAAATATTTCTGTTCTGGAAGACTCCCCCACCCCCCTTATCTTCTAATCTTTTGTTATTTCAGCATGCTCCGCTGAAACGGAGAAAGTTTGCAAATTGTCCTCTGAAGAGAACCTGCAACCATTCAAGGACAAGATGGATGAATTTCTCAATCGAGGTGAGAAAACAACTGAACATGATTTTTGTCTACAGTCTACTTGACTCGACTGTCAGTGAATTCCATTTAAACATTAAACTCAACAATGAACTGCAATGTTTGGATCTTTGTATCAAAAGCTTGATGTATCCTTGTATTTGTACCATAGCCGTCCATTACTGACAATCCACACCACTGCACTAATATGTTCCTTCATTACTTTAAACATAGTCACTGTGGTGTATTTGGAGTTCCATAAACACTGTTCTTCTGCTGAAAATCCTTGCCAGATCTGCAGCTGAATTTGCATGTTAAGTATCAGACCTTTCCATAGAAATAATTTACTACTTTAAGAGTGCATGCTTTAATTTAATTTAAAGATTTGTGTGAGCCTATGTGACGCAGCTCATCCATCAGAATGATGCAAGTTGTCCATGCCTGCAAACACATTTAAGATCTGTTTCATACCGTTTTACAGTTGCTATACACACACAAAGACTCAGTCAGTGTAGTTTCCATAGGGACCTCTGTTTATTTCAGGGTGTATTGAATAATTCACTGATGTTGTTTCAAGTTTGCCTATCTGTTTTGAAAGATCATGACTGCACTTGGAGTCAGTTTAGTTTTTTTTTTAAACGTGATCTAATAAAATGAAGCACTCAGGCTCTGACTCAAAGGGGAAAAAAAGTCTAAATTTGAACTTGTCATGTAGCTTCTTGTTGTAAATTGACTGCCAAGAGGAGAACTGTATAATGTGGCGTAAAACAGACTTCTTTGGAAAATTATCTTTTTCATTAAGTAGACTTTGAATATTACTTGGTCTTTATTTGTGCACTCAAATGTAGAGGAATTTGACTGGAATAATGAAACTTGGCCCTAGAGGCATTTGGATGAAAACAACGAAGGGTTCGGCCTCTGAGTACCGTGGCTGTGATAATAAAATTTGTGAGCTGCAAATTTTCAGTCAACAGGAAACAGCTACTGCATTTTTGTTTAAATAGCATCAAAATCTACTCAAAATATAATCGTCTTTATTTGTCATATTCACCAGATGTCATGACGTCTAGCTTTTATCTGTAATCTAACATCTGCATGCAGCAATATTAGATATTTGCAGTCTACTTCAAATGTGTAAGACTTACTGGATTTTTTTTAAAACACTTGTTTTAGGAAAACAAACCAATAGTCATTATTTATGTAGCACTGGCTTTGACCCTGGGTACATTCAGTTGACTGTGACCAATCTTCCTGAAGGACCCAACTTGCAGGCCTCTTTCCAACTGCTTTTGTATTCAAATGAGAGTCTAATACATAGCATATGTTCTTCAGCAGTAATGCTCACTGTCCATTTTAAAGGAAGTCTACAGATGAAAGCATCTCTCCCATTTCCACCTCTCCCCATCTCCTTTCCTCTCTCTGTGCGTTTGAGAGAAATATGGGGGCTCTTTCTTTGATGCAAATGATGAGGTTTTTCCTCTGAGACCAGAATGTAAGCACTGTAACATGGACATGTGACTCACAAGGCTCCAGACGGGATTCTTGAGGTTCTTCCACTGCAGCAGTGAAAAAAGAAACAACAGCCAAATGTCTTATTTTTGTTATTTCTGTAATTTCTAAAAAGCCTGGGGTTAAACAGTTTCTGGCTCCACAGTTTAAACCGCTTTTGTTTATTTTCTGACCATGCAACTAACCACAGAATAACAGTGGGAGCGGACTTGTTGGAGCTTGGCTGTTTGGTCTAGCTCCATTTTCTCCACTCACTTCACAAATTCTCATGCATGCAGGCCTTTGATGGAGTCAATATGACTAGCAAGAGAGCACCGGCCATGTGATAATCTGTTTCTGATGAATGTAAAGATTACTAGTATGACTGATGGCATACTCTTGCTACATTTTCTACTAACTGCAACCTAAGAAATCAAAGCAAATAAACCAAGAATGTTAAATAAACTTTTAAACATGAATGCATAGCACATTATGGAAAAAAAATTATTGACTTTAGATACACATGTTGATGTTGTGCCACAATGTTGATGTTTTATATCTTTACATAACCTTTTTTTTTTTTTCCAAGTTTTCCTCTTTCGTTTGATTCTCTCCCATAATATCACAATAAGATTATTAGAAAAGAGCAAACTATATAGACTTGATACTGAATCATTCGGCATGATAAAGGTTATTTAACAGTCTATTATATATTATATTATATTTTATATAAAAAAATTTAAAATGTCGCATAACTTCATATTTCTCATCAATTTGTTATCATTTTTGACGGACAATCTGCAGAGACGGGCAAGATTGTAGGCTGCAGAGTGATTTAGCACTTTAGAATGATAACGCATAGTGCTCCTCTCAGCAGGTTTGTCTGAGATCTTTAGATGTGGTTCTGGCTTCAATTACACAAAGCAAGCAGATATTCAACTGGGTAAAAGCAGCACACAGGTTTGTGCCAGGAAAGATTCTCTGTTCCATCTACTGTCATCTGTCTCACAAAGCTATTTGCAGGCCTTAGGTCATTTCTGATCATTTGACAGTTTAAGACAGCAGGTTACACATTACTGACCTTGAGGGAAAAGAGATGTTATCTGGGCAAGAATTGAATGTCTAGCCTTTTGACAGTTATACAGCACCATAGTGAAGATATAGACCAACAAAACACAGCTGGATCGACTCTACAACTGCTGATATATTGAAAAAACGAGATGAAAAATCAGCCCTTGGATCTGAAATTTGATGAGTACTAACCTGCGATGCTTGTCTAACCAAGGCTGTCACATCTGACTGCTTTTCGTTCATATCATAATTTATAACACAGTCAAAATGATCCCGATGGCACCCCGAGATAAGTGTTGTGGTCTGCTGAAACTGCTTGCTAATGTGCACCATGATGTCCAACTACTCCCTCACACCTCACACAAACGTGAACACAGTCATCTGTCTCCATTTGAAGTAATATTACACAAAGAAGCACTTGTTCTGCAATCTCCACTACTCATTTGTCAGTTGTGCAACAGCATACAATCCAACACTCAATAATGTCATGGCTCGATGTTGACCCTGAGCAGGACTTTTGAGTTAAGTAATGGTGACATCTTGAATCTCCTGGTATATACAAATCACACTATAAATGAATCTGTCTATTTGCAAATGCATAATTTTTTTTTCTTACTCTTTCACAGCCAAAACTGAACTGGAAACGCAGGAGAACCAGCTAGCAGAAACTCAGAAGATGTAAGAAGAGTATTGTGTGTGTGTGTGTGTCTGTGTGTTTGTGTTTAAAAACCTTTTCCTACATATCTTTGCTCAAAAAATAAATGTTACTTTGCATTTTATTTCCTGGATTTACATTTCGTCGTCTTTTAAGTTTCAAAGCAGTGATTGTAGTTGTGAATTTGAAAGTAAGGTATAATGCAATCCAACACAGTTTGAAGTGATATACTCTCGCTGCAGTGAAGAAATATAATCTTGCAGCTTTGTCAATATTTATGACTCCTGGTTCCTTCAATTACATGGAAGGTGCAGGCCGTCATGCCAGGCCTTCAGTAGACGGGAGGCCCCCTATGCAGTGTCTATGTTGTTTATCTAAGTGGAGCGAGAGTAGACAGCCATGGCTCCAGGCTTCTGTTACTGCTGGCTTGGAATGTGTTCCTATAGCACACTCCAAACAAAGAGACCCCAACCTGTCCACGATATTAATCCACTCAAAATTGCTGCCACATTTAACACCTTAATGTATGTCATCCGCTGCTCTATGCACACTTTCTTTTTGCAAGATCTGTCTTTGGCTCCTTTGCCTTTCATCACTCATGCTTACACACCAGTAGAGTATGTGCATGTATGTATACACAAACATACAAAAGAGGTTCATATGGATAAGGAAAAGGAGTGATACGGGAAAATTCATCATTTTGGTTAAGTCAGATTTTCTTGCTTTTGCAGCACTAATAGCATTTTTTGTTCGTTGAAATGCACGGTCATTATTGTTTTTCTTTTTTTTTTTTAGTTACTCTACTATTAAATCTCCAAAAAGCACATTATCCAAGATTAGCTATCATATTTTGCATATCTGCGTAGGAATGCCAAGTTTCACAATAATTGGTATAGTTTTCTGTAATCTCGTGTTGTAATGTTTTGGTCTTGAAGTAATGTTTTTCTTCTCTGTCCTCAGTTTCTTGGAGTTGAGTGTCTCCTTCTCAGTCAAACCGAAGGCAGGAGAGAAAGAAGTCTCTCCCCACACATTCTTCTCCATTTGGCATGAGTTTTCCACAGATTTTAAAGACCAGTGGAAGAAGCAGAATAAGCTGATCTTACAAGAGCGGTGAGCCATATGAAGATTCCAGTTTCACAATGTGACATTTTCCATGATGTGGATAAATCCCTCTGATAGGACGCTTAAAACTTTTGACCAAAAATGAAGTATTGCTGAGATATCAGTCCATTTTTTTTCTTATTTTCTCTGATTGGGAGCCTTAAAATGTGATAACAGATGTGCCTAGTGCTCCTTCATTTCGAATTTTCCCCAAGCTTGAGTTTCCAAACCATTAATAACATGCAGTACATCTCATGTTCACTGAAGATCCTATCAGATTCATTCAAATTCATGAAGGGAAAGAGGGCAAATGACCCAAATCTTTGTCCTTACCCCACCAACGAAAAAAACACACATGCATCATCCAGTTAGCTTCCAGTGGTTTGATAAATATGAAGATATAGCTGCATATGTCAACAAAAAGCAAATTGGTCCATTATTTCCAATGAAGATTGACTTGTGATAGTATTTGTAAGAGAGGTCCAATGTCATAGTCTTTGCTTGTTCAGTAGGAAAGAATAAAAACTAATTTGAAAGCATTAACTCTTTGTCCTTTGCCATATGTGGAACAGTAGATGGTAATCCTCACTTCTGCCTGTATGGGCATGCAAAGATGCAGCACTACCATGCATTGAACATGTAATGGGTAGAGACAACAGGCGAGTCTGCTAGTATAAACTGCTCTACTCACTCAATGCCAGCATGTTAATCATTTTTCTCTTTAAAGAGCAAATGAGTAGTGACATTTCTGGCCCTCTCCTTGCTATAGTAAACTAGAGTGAATCATTTCAGAGTAGAAGGTCTGGCCTCCTGTCAAACCAAAATCCTTGTGTTTAAATGCCCCATGACCACAAGTTGGATGGTATAAACCTGAAATCTTCAGCACTATACTACATTTTTCTTTTTTGATGGTGTAATGGTGAATTTTAGTGAATCTGTGTAGCTCTATGCAGCTAATTAATTGCTCTTAACATCTTTATCACATGATTGGCATTCTTTTCTCCTTTTTTTTTAGGGTCAAAATGGCAGAGGAGTCTTTTAAACAGGCCAGGCAGAAGGCTTCCTACAATGTGACACCCAAACATGCAACTGGAATAGTATGCATAACATTTTACTTTTTCTTATTACTGTATGGAGTCATCTGTTTTCTATTTATTTACTGTAATTCTAGCAGTACCTGCCTTTTTCTTTCTTTCGCCTAACAGACCCAATTGCTCGCAAATGCTTGTCAGTGTTTTAAGAAACAACAATCCTGGCTCTTATAGTAACATTTTAGAGCGGAGCACCAGTGCTTCCAGCTGTAAATAACTCACACTTTTTTCTTGTCTTTTTTTTTTTCCACAGAAAGCAAAGTTGGGTAAGAAGATCTGAAGCAGACAATGGAAAATTATCATCACCTAGCCTATTGCACAAGCTGTGTTTGTACAATCTGACACGAGTCATCAGTCATTTTTAGCGTTTATTTGCTCCCAGTATTTGTTTTCAATTGGTTTAGGGCTGTCGAGTGTGAGCTGGTTCAAAGTGTATCGTTTAAACTTGGGATTAAAGCTAATGTCCTTACCCACCATTTCACAAAATGAAACGAGTCTGTGTTATAAAAAGGCATCCCTAAGCTGATTACTGAACTCAAGTTGCATGAAAATCTGCTATAAATACTTGGTGTTCCTTTTCTGTTGTTTTTGGTGACAAGCTTTATCAGTATACATAATATGTAGCCATTTTTTTATTGCCATTTCCAGAAAAACCATTAACACATTGTGTTCACATCTCCCTTGATGGTGAAAAGCACAGGATTTTATAATATTTCTATATGGTGCCTTATTGCATAGTGGAGACTTTAAATGAGTTGAACAAAGCTTATTTTTGAGATGCATCAATTGTGATTCAATGATACCTACAAGGAAGAAAAGTCTGTTTACATGGCCTGAAAAATAACAAATTTACTCCTTTCAATATTTTCATCTGGTGCGTTTCAACTGCGAATTCTACGTGTTTTACATACAGCACCTCTTCTATTAGTGTTTTTCATTTAAAAGGTCATGTCTTTCTAAGTCATGTGATCTGATAGATCCCCACTATTGTTCTTTTCAACATTAATGTAAATATGTTTTCTTTCAAGAAAAATCCTATGCAGGTAGTTTCACCTTTTGTGTTATGTGAAAGAGTGTGAATATCCATAGGCTAAATCAGCAGTAGAATCATGTGATGTGATTTTCATGTACAATACCAGCACTGTGTTTTGACTGAATACATCTGACCATTAAAAAGAATATAAATATATATTTATTGAATAAAAGACAGTACCCTGATTTTTGTAATTAAAAATTCTGTTATTGGTGATCAATTTCTGTTTATCACATGACAAATTATATGCACACTACACATCACTTTGTTTTATATGAAATAGATTTAATATATTTTTACATACTTAAAACACACGTGTATATATTGTATACATTGCATTGCAACTCCAATACACATGCTGCAGTTTTTTTTTTCCTTTATTTTTTGTCTCCTGGCTAGTATATTTGTGGAAAATGTACAGTATACAATCAGGTTTGTATCCAAGCAGGTGGATGGTGTGAATTGTTTAATCTTTTCTTTGACATACACAAAAAGGGTAACAGAATACTTGTGAAACACGACAAAAAAAAAGATACTGACAAGCTGTCTAAGATTGTAGAACCACCTATAGATACACATTTTACAAAGAGTGTTTTAATTGGTTGCACTAATTATACAGTTGGACATTACTTTAATGCACTTCCTTTTGCTTGGCCATCCTCAGTGTCCATAATGTTCTGTCATTTTTAAGAGGTACTTTCTTGACTCCTTTAGGTAGATGTGATATTTTTGAAATGCTACAACTAAAAAAATGTCCATTGTTAAACACCAGCAGCTTTATTATCACTGTCTCTACACAGCCACTTGATTTATTCTTTTTTTTTTTTCCTTTTTAACCACACTGGCATGTGAACATGGCTGCTACTCTCTAATTAAATCATTATTGAGCTTTTGTGTATTTCTAGTTCCATGTTTCATTTTGTTGCAAGACAAGCCATTCTTTGTACAACACGATGCAGAACAGTTCCTCTTGAAGCCAGTCCTTGTTTGGCTAAGTTTGTGAATTTCTGCCTCTGACAGCACATAAATGATGTCATTCCAAACTTAAAAGACCTTTAAGTCCCCCTTCACAGTTTCCCATGGCCGCTCACATCCACAGACATGCAGCGACACTGTTTGACTCTCTGCACCTTGCGGTGTCTGAAAGGGGGCTGCAGGTCTGGGCAGTCTAGCTGCACTGTGAGCTGTGTGATGCGATGTGGCCTACAGAAGGAGCAGGACTGAAATGGCTCCTGGGCTTTGTTGTGGTTTTTTCTTCCCGAGCCTGAGGTTTGGCCTCGACTCTGTCCCTGACTCGAGCTTGGACCCATATGCCGTGGTATGTAGAAGGAGTTACACTGGCCATAGCAAAAACGGTTGACCACAGTGCGGCTGCGGCAGCCCTCCTCACTGATTGTCTGACGAAGAGGTTGGGTCTTGCACCAGTCTCTGCGGAGGTAACGGCGCTCTGTCACAACCAAGGCTTCCCGGCTAGAGGATAGCACCTCTGGTTTCTGCTGAAGCAATCGGTGGTGACGGTCCGCAGACAGGTTCCCTTTGGACTTGTATGGAGATGGGATGGCTCCCTGAGGACGGGACTTTTTGGTCTCTGCAGTGATGCAGAGCACCCCAGCCAGTATGACAGGGATAGTTATTCTCCACAGCATTCTGCAAAGAGAGATACATTACTATACAATGTAGCGAATAGACAGAGTAAGACATCTGCACAAACAGAATCTGGACATTTACACTAAAGCTGGTGTAACACATTTAGGTAGTATGAGATGAAACATGACAGTCACACAATTGCTTACATGATACTAATGTTGCCAATTATGCTTGCAACTGTGAGAATGCTAATTCCTGTTGAGCCACCTTTGCAGTTTAGCCTTCCAGGCATCATTGAGGAAATGAATCCATCACCAGGGCCCCCATTTGTCAGCATCTCTGTGTCATTACTTCTATTTGCTTTCCTCTCGGCTACGCAACTCTTCCAAAAATAAATAAAGGCCTGCCATCAAAGGATACACTTAAACACCCATAACGAGAAGGGGAAGTTGATTTTATTGGTCCCGTCGCTGAGTAAAATAATTAGGGCTTTGCTTACTTTAGTCATGAACTATGCCGCAGATATGTAAACAGGCATTAGAGAGGCCCATCTGCATGTTATTAGGGAAAGAGTCGGAGAGCCGTACAGTTCACTCATCTACTCTTTGGTGATATACGTGAAGAAAACTAAAGTGAGAGTGATTATGGGCCTATATTGTTCATAATCACCAGTGCCTTTTGTACGATGCCAGCACCAGATAGTATGATCTGGAGAAATGATTCCTCTTTGAGTCAAAACGGAGTACGCGCCCGTGTGCAAGCTGTCAGTATTTGCGCCAGCACATTTTTGACCATCACTCAAGCATCTTTTCAGCAGATGTTGCTCTTGACAAGCATTGCATGACACCAACTTAGAAATTCTGACAGAGAACCAAACGGCCTCAAGGCCATTGGCTGCTACTATTCACAGACTCTTCTTTGCTGTGCTCGTATGTTCTCTTTGTTCCTTTCCTGGACCTGCAACTCACTCTGACATGGAACAAATTACTTTATCATAATCCACTTTGTTTTTTGCCTCGTTTTTTTCTGCCCTTGACCCTGAGGTCATGGCAGCTCTGTCTGAGCAGCATGAGCACTCGAGTCTGTATATCACTGTCCCAGCAGCACTTGCCATAAGCTAGACAGCAGCTGTTAGTCCATCTACCAGATATAAAGTATGATTTTCTTTTTATTAAAAAATAAATAAAGCCATACGTTGCAGTTACTTAAGCACAGAAAATGGAGTGCACTGTTAATTTTTTTCTTGTTCAAATCTAATCTGATGAATTTTTAAAAGGGTTTTTTTATAGTTTGGTTTTGCTTTGCTTTTTTCTTAAGACATCTGTGTACAGTCTGCTAAGGAACTAGATCAATTATATGGCTGAAGTAACAATGTGTGTCCAGATGACACACATTTAAGCCAGTTCTTACACAGGAAATTATGATTTTGGCACCTAAATCATATCCGAATCAGGAATCGGGGACCTGACATCCAAATAATGTCTGTGGTTCTTCTAGAGATGTACATTTTTGCACACATACAGACCATATATATACTCCCCTACGCTCACCCACCATAAGGTTAGAATAACTAAAGTAAACAATCCCACTGTCTTTCCCCCACCTGCTGTATCAGAGAATATTGACCCCACTTCATCTTTTAGTGAACTACCTTCCACTTAAGGACAGTCTCATTTGTCTTTACCTGCTCCATCTTATTCCTGCTGACTGGGAGTTGAAGTGCACAAACCCCTGATCAGGGTCACATGCTCTGCTTTTGTGTCCAGGCTCTTGTTTCCCCATTTTCCCTCTATCAGTCTCTTATGTAGCACCATGTGACTCCGGTGATCTACAGTCTGGATAGCTCTTGGGGCTGGAGAGGGATGACCTGACTGACTGTGTACACAGGGCATGAAAAATGACCTATACAGTCAGCAACTGTGCTTCCTCTCCACCCCCAAACTCAGCTGGTGTTAGAGTAGTGGCCCTGCTGAGCTATACCCATCAATCTCTCTGCAAGACAAATTGTGGTTTTGGGGTAACGATTCAGGGGCTTTTGGGGGAGTCTGAGTTAGATGGTTAGTGGTTGGGGATAGTAGATGGGGGGGAAAAGAGGGGGTTGCAGACTCGTTGGGGTTTCTGGACTCATGACACACCGGGAAACAAAACCAACACTACTTGGGGTTCATGAAAAATATAACTTCATCCCTCCTTGTGAGCTTTTTCTTTCTTTCTTTTTGTCACTCTTGTGATTTTTATTCTTGGACACACAGCACCGATCATCACACAGTCCTAGAGACAGGAGGCGACTGTGGTTTTGAGTGTTAATGCTGGGACAGAACTGAGCACAACCTTTGTGTCTGCTAAACACTAATATTGTCCACAAACACAGCTTTATGTTTTACCAGAACCACAAATACTTTGAATATGCTTCACTGAACTGTGGCAGACCGTGGTTCCAAAATTCAAACCTCTAATGAAATTACAAATGCCAGACACAAATACCAGAGAGACTGCTGAGCTAGACACAAGCTTTTTGGAAAACAGCTATTATCATCAGTGGGAACTTGTTATGTTTTGTTTTTCAGAATGGCATGATAATACCATGGTAATGTTTCTGTCTGGATAACAATGAGCCTTTTTTTTAAATCTTGAAGTCAAATGAAAAACAAAATTATTCATGAAAATCGCCAGCCTGGCAGCTAAATATCTGAAGATTTTAAATATCCAGTTGTTAAATAATTGAATAAAGAAAGGAGAATCCTTTCCAAGGCTTTCAAATTTGTACACACAGATGTACTTCCACTAAACCATGCGAAACATCTTCCCAGCACGTCTTCAAAGGCAGGTTAAAACAAACAAAACCTGATGCCTCAATTATTGGTGCGTCAGAAAGTCTCATACATAGACTGGTAAGTGCAGTTAATTACAGTAGAACTGCATTTAATTCACCGTGCAGCTCAAACCTCAAACACACACGGGTAGCCGCGCACGCGCACGCGCATGCACCCATGTGTGGCCACACATGTGTGTGTAATCACACACACACAGACACACATACAGAGTCAAACGCACATACACAGGATGCAAAGAGAGAGAGGAAAGGGGAAAGAGAGGTAAATTAAATGTTTTCACTCGGAGCCAATTACACAAAGAGGAACCATGTCATTATCTGCATTTGCGGATTGCATTTTCCCAAACTACGCTTCACTGTTGGTTCATTAACAGCTGGGGGTTGGGGGGCTCTTTTTAGGGGCTTTGCTGTGTAAATGTGTCTAACGCCAACATCGCCAGGAAGCCGCTTTAGGCAGTTCGGGTAGCCATTTGTCACCACAATCCGTCTTGATAATGACTAGCAGCCCAGATATAATGCTTTCCAAGCTAAGTACTGGCAAGAATGTAAGACAACTTCTTCGCCTCAGCAACATAAAGTGCTTTAGTGGGGATGAAGGCCAATTAGAAATCCTGTGATAGTACACTAGTTGTCACTGCAGACATTATAAGCTACAGCGATTAACACCACCTTCCATTTGCACTTAAACAAAATGTTTTTCTCCTTTTGTTTCCTCTTTAATAGCTTTGTTTCACAGTCTTACATTTATAACTTGTGTCAGCTTGTTTAAGGTATTTCAAGCTGAAAACTTTATTATATTTTTATGATATATGAAATAAAAGTATTCTTTATCT